TTTTTATCATCACTTTTAATGGCTATTCATAATATTCGTCGTTGGCACTTTTAAGTGTTTAAAAAACATTCAAATGATTCTGGCTCGCTAATCAATCACTCTAATGTAGTATTGCTCTATAAATATTTATGTACATATGTATGTCGGGAGTAATGATTCATTTTACGCGCGTACATACATACATATGTATGTACATAGATATGTAAGTGTTATAAAAATATTTTTGAAATACCAAGATGTTAATTTTTGAAGCACACTTCCAATTTTCAATGATTTTTTTAATTAACCTAGAACGCTAATGCAGACTACATACATATCTATTGCAAACACATAAATATTTTATTTTAGCTTTAATTAAATTTTTATACTCTCGATCGTGACCTATTAAACGACGTTAGTACTTAGCTCGACGACAACTGGCAGACATTTGTAATGAAGTAAATTTTTATTGTGAGTTTTAAAGCAAGAAATTGTAATTATCAAAAGGCATTGCCTCTCAAATGATGTACAATCTGGACGGCCAATTTTCAGCCACTTTTTCCAGTTGGAGATTGTCTTGTTAACAGTTCTTTAATGAAGCCATTCAGCTAAAAACTAAAACAAAAAAAAACAAAATTATAATAATTGATGCAACATTATGCCCGGCATCATCATCTACTTTTGTTAAAGAAGTTTAGGCTCCATTTACGCCTTTTCTAATATACACACATACATATGTTTTGTGTCCGAGACGACTTTAACCCTTAATGGTCACACCTCCAAAAAAATAGCGTAATGGTCACACGCGGTCCAGTGGACCCCAAGCCCACTAATAACAATTTAACACATAAAAAATGTATGTATATGCTAAATATTCGATTTGTGCTGGGGTTAAAAAACGTCTATTTTAGCTCTCGAAACCAAACGAGCCGCCTTATAATATTTCGTATCGTATTTTCGATTGGCACTCTACTGACGATAACTATGCAATTTGTCATAATAATTGATCTATTTATGTATATTAGTCTCAGGTGGTTTAAGGAAAGAACTGAACTTTAAGGCTGCTAACGCAAATATCTGTGGTCATAAGCAATAACCGCCTAAGTCGGCTTAAGAAAGAATTTAGTTATGTATATATGCTATCGTATTCTGCAACTCCTATTCCATGTGTATGTGAAATCCCCATCACGCCAGCTGGGCTATTTAAAAGTTATGGACGAACATATTTTGTTTTCCCCATAAGGAAACAGTCCAAACCAAGTCCATTACAGTCCAAATGCTTAAAATGTTCTTTCTCGAATTCAAAATTTTCGACTTAGCCTTAGGTTATTGCTACATATATTAAGCTTTATTACAAAATGTTTATAACTCATACAGTATAAATAATTAAATTGTACTTGTCGCTGCGCTAATACACAAAAGCGCTCTAATGCTTCTCTGTGGCAAAAGTAGAACATTTATTACAAATTGAAAGTTGATGGTATCTTCAATCAGAGCTCTTCACTATAACAGTGAGTTTTGAATTTTCTCCTCCTCCTAAGCTCCTAAGCTGCGCCAGAAGCTTTTACCATTATTGCCTAAAGTAAGTGAAAGCCTAACCTTGTAGAGAGTAGATGCACGAAAATAATTAAATCCGAAAATTTTTAACTACATATACATATAAGTGAAAGCTAAATACCCGTAAAATGTGCACAAAAGCTTACTGTTTAAAACATCAGAGGCCTAGAAAGTAACCTCGATTTTCTTAACTTATTTTTGTACCATAATCCTCCATTAAACTGAAAACTGAAATCTCGTAAAAAAAAA